GTGTGTGTGTGTGTGTGTGTGTGTGTGTGTGTGTGTGTGTGTGTGTGCGCGCGCGCGCGCAAGTGCAAAGCTGGCATGCTCAATGCTCCCTTGCTGCATGGTGTCTTTGAGTGCTGATGATTTAAATTTGTATTAGAAAGAAAGAAAGAAAGGTGTAAGTGATTTGTTGTCGGCTTTTTTCAAATGTCTCAAATATGGTGAAAAAACTGGATTTCTATTTTAATAATGGAAGATAAATGGGTTTCGAGGTGATAAATGTTGTCCTGGATAGTTGGCTTGTTCTTGTGGTTTCACCCAAAAGTGCATGAGTGCTTTCTATGAAGTGATGTGAATCAGGACCCATATGGTAAATTTCAGAGTGCATTTAGGAGCAGTACTACAATACAGCAGCCATTACAGGCTGAACAGTGTTAAACAAACATCAGAGGATGTTATTAGTTTGATTAAACAAATCTCAGACAAAGGGCATTACGGAGTGCACCAAGGCCTGCTGCGTGCGTGTCTGTTTTCATTTATTTGTTTCATCCAATATCGATTGTATCTGTGCCAGAATCGTAGAGTCATAGAGAGGGAATATAATAAACAGTTCACCCAAACACAGTGTGTGTGTGGTTGATGCTGCATTTACTCAGTAGTGTCGAAACATTGGGCGACTTCTGGCTTGTTATATCATAGCAATGCAGGTTAACTGATTGGCCTTTGACCAAAAATCAATGTAATGATGATTTATACTGACAATAATTAACTGTCAATAAATTAATTAATTTTTTAAACCACCACTAGGTAGAATAAGAACTATATGATAAACGTACAATGTGCTAGAAACTTTAACAAACCGAAACGAATGAGAACCTAAATACTGATGAATGCACACGCTCTTATTTTGTAAGGTTTGTTAACTGTGGCTAGTTTGGAGGATTGGCTTGTGTAACAGTGCATTGTGGGAATTAGATGTGTCCGTCTGTGTGTTTCAATGTCTGTGTTATTCATTGAACACGCGCACATCACCTCTCCTGGGGGTCTTTGCCTAAAGTCCAAGTTTACTATTCAGTCATGGGTGTGATTCTGAATAGGTGTTGAGAAAGTAAAAACAACACGGGGCTTACCATCCTGAGCTCAGGACAGAACACATTGATATTGATTCATAGTATTTCCATCTATTGCCCTGGTATTTATTAGTTTTTGATTGTTTAATCCTTTGGCCCGTTGTCCTTCCTTGTTGCCGTAGGGACAGTAGCAGTAGCTGGCGAGTGACCACACCAGGCAGGAAATGGGTTTAGCGAAATGGGAAGTTGTTGTGGTTACTGAAGTGTTTGAAGATGTCCAGAATTACCGGCCAGCGTGTTTGTGTGTGTGTCTGTGTATTATAAACTGGTTTCCTCTTTTCTGTTTTTTTCTGTGTGTGTGTGTGTGTGTGTGTGTGTGTGTGCCTATTGTTTGCCTGGAATATGTCAATGGCTTGTTTAAATGCTTGGAGCCTGGAGTTTTGCCAACACGCTGTGTTTAGAGCACTGCCCTCCAGCTCTGGTGTGTGTGTGTGTGTGTGTGTGTGTGTGTGTGTGTGTGTGTGTGAGTGTGAGTGTGAGAGAGTGTGATTTGGACTGAATGTAATAACAACTGTGCCAAGCTAAAGTGGAGCACAGACAAGTTCTGAGAAAGAAAGGAAGGAGGAAAGAAAGAAGGTGAGAGAGGGAGAGTTTTTTTTCCTTTTCTGGAGCCTGGAGTGTGGCTTGTTTCACCCTCAGCACAGTGCACATGTTGTGACATCAAAATCTGTCATATGCCCTTTTCACTTTTTCTCTTTAGTTATCGATCCAGATGTTGGGTCAACATCTATGGTCTAAGTCCAAAAATACTATACGTATCTAGCATTTTCAGCTCATGCCCCATCTCCATGTGTCTTAATTCTCCAGCATCCGTCCTCCATGTTATCTTATTCTGCTCTTTGCTGTCCTTCTTGTGTCTCTGGAACATTGCAGTGAAATGAAGTCATAACGTTTGTCTTGGTGTGAGGCAAGCTGCTGTGCCAAATGTTAGGTAGAGAGGGAGAGACAATAAAAGAAGAGAGCTGAAAGAAAATGCTTGCTGGCTTAAAAAAAAAAAGGTTACAGGATCAAAATAGAACAGAGAGAGAGCTGAAGAATGAAACGGTGGGTGGGGGGGGAGGGAGTGAGAGGTAATGGGAGACGACGGTAGAAAAAGGCTGGTTTTTAGTTGAAACAGAGGTGGGTCATATGTACAAAATCAATATCTCATTAGCCATCGTGATATTTTTGGACTTACTAAAGTATTAAAAACCATAAATGTTTTTTACGCTATTTTCTGCTTTATTAGAACACAAACCTATGACTTTGTATGTTCTGCTCCCAACTGTTTGGTTTCTCACCCTCGGACAGATTTTGGAAAAAATATGAATAACATTAATGTAGACGTGAAAGCTCTGATTCAAGTCATCGACATATGAGAATGTTCAAAAATCTTTTCGTCCACTAAATATGTTAAATAGGTAACCACAGTTCGTCCAACAGTGTCTGCTTTATGAATTATTTTTCTGTGTGTGTGTGTGTGTGTGTGTGTGTTTCTGCTTGTGTAGTTTTCACTTTAACAGCTACTAGCAGGATTGTGGCCCATCTTTACTTCTCCTCTTGTTGCATAACAGCTACTTCCAAAAAGAGCTGAGGACTCCCAAGAAGTCACAAGAATGTTTGTGTGTCATGCATTAGTGACCATATTTAAATATCGTATCATTTGAGTTTCAGTCCTGGTGTGAAAACAATACTTTTTTGGCAATTTATGGTCGGAATATAAAATGCTTTTTTTCTCTAGAACTCTGCTCTTAACAAAAGATTTAACAAAATGAGCCATACTTCTCAAATGCACTTATCTTAATACAAGGAAGAGCTGGGATGAATCAGAAGATACAAGAACTACAGGCTAAAAGAAAACAGTCTAAAATGAGCAACATTTATACCTCATTAACATCAACATTAAAATATGTAAACAAGACTTAAGAATCTGGTCAATCATTAAGAACCAATCGTTAGAAGATACCCAGCCATAGTAATAAGTATTTGGGCTTTTTCCTTGAAATGAACATTTCTTTCTTTCTTAAAAAAAATGGGAGAAAAGACGACGAGAAACCAAAAGCCAGAGAGGGAGGAAGGAAACGGACGGGTTGGTTTGTGCTCTGTTCTGCATGGATTAGGTCTAAAAGCACAGTGTTTATAGCTTCAGATTTATGACTGACTTTGTTTTATCAGCCCACCCACATGGAATCAAATCATTTCTCCCTGCCCGGCCCTTTTTCCTTCACTCCCGTTACGATCCCCACTCCTCTCCAGTTGTCGTTGTGCACGAGAGGAGCAGTAAAGGTAGAGGTACTGAAGCAGTGAGTTGATTTGCTCTTGTCTTACAGTGTGAAATACTTACTGAGATAATTCCTTACATCACTGATTAAATGTCACTGATGGTAAAATACTTGTTTAACAAAATCATGCTGTTGTCGGGCATGTGCAGAAAACGAATAGGCTCAATATTATAATTCAGAAAGTAATCAAAAGAAGTTTTTACTGTACAGGAGAAATTTAAATTTCTTAATGATGTCATCCCTCTCAAATAGAATACAATGTATTTCAGGGCTGCTAATGGAGTTCTGTAGTCAAAATGCATCATCAAACTGTCTTTATTTTGTGATCAATGGATGGGTAGGAGCTTATCCAATAACGTTCTCCTTTGAACGCAGACTTAAAAGTAAAGTTAAAGGACACATTGCATGGACACACACAGAGAGGATACAGTGTGGGTGTTAGGGGGTTCTTTTCTAACATGCGAAAGGTCATCACAGGTTTAGTGACGTCCAAACAAGTGAAGGATGCTGAGCGAGGTGAAGGTGGGATGAAAGGATGAGGCTGTGGTTTGTTCTGGTTGAAGGTCGCCATGACTAAGCGGGTGAGAAGGAAGAGCTGGGATGAATCGGAAGATCAAACGGCCACACTGGAGATATCCGTGGCTTCAATGACACATAGGCAGCCTCTGATTGTAGACATTTTGAGTTTACTTCCACCAGTGGAGGTAAAAACTGTATCTAAAAAAACGGGGTCATTGTACGGTGTGATTCTGTTTAGAAAATGTGAGGACATGTAGATCTTACTGGTTGAGTAGATTGAACTTTGCGATTGAACAAGCATTTGTCATTTTATGTTCTTATTATGGTCCTTAGAGAGGAGAGAACGTCTCCGACCTCCAGCCATCTTGTCCTCGACTCGCACACAAAATATTTAGCCCGTCTCTCTGGCTCTCTCGCACACAATATTGCTTTTGGGGCAGGCACAACAAAAATGTTTTGTGTTCCTCTGTGTAAGAGTGAGTGATTTAATAATAGACCCATTTGGTTTGACGGGAGGGGGGGCATTTTGATAGATAGCTGGAACCAATTGTGTGTGTGTGTGTGTGTGTGTGTGTGTGTGTGTGTGTGGTTCACATTTGTGCAGCTCGTGGAAATCAAATGCTCCTTGCAGTCCAGTATATATTGTTTCTTGTAAAACACTTTTCACTCTCAGCCGCTCCATCTGGTTAGCTTAGCATAAAGACTGGAAACGGGGGGGGTGTGTGTGTAACAGCTAGCCTGGCTCTATACAAAAGTAATGAAATCCACCTCCCAGCACCTCAGAATCTAACTAATTAACACATTATGTATTGTTTTCGTTTAATCTATACAGAAACTATAAACTAACAGCTTATCCCTTTTTCAGTCTTCGTTCTAAGCTAAGCTAATCAGCTGCCGGCTCCAGCTAAAGTACACCGCATACTGATATGAGTGGTATCTATCTTCTCATCAAACTCTCAGCAAGAAAGCAAATGTAGCATATTTCTAAAAATGTGGAACTCTTCCTGTTAATTCATAAAGTCTACA